TAATTTTGCAAACCAATTTTCTTCCACCCCATCTCCTTTGATTAATAACCATGGTTGCTTTGAGGGCGAGGACTTAAGATTGATGATTTTGATGAAGAAGAGGTTCCATATGATAAGGTTGAGGAGGTAGAGCCTACTTTTGATGATTATGAAGATGAGAGTGAAGTGTTTAGTGAGGTTGAGTCTCCAACTTCTATCTCAAATCTTAAACCATTGTCTTCCTCTTTCACCTTTGATGAACCTTTCTCTTCTGCATTTTCCACCATCGAGATGGATGAGGCCTTTTTGAAGGGAGATTGCACTTCTCATGTTTATCTTGAGCTACCTCCCAAGTTCGACCCTCAACCCTTTGATGAGCTTCCTTTGAACCTTGATGATGATTTGAAGCTTTTGAGAGCTCATTTAGGGTGTAAAGTTAATAAGGAGGATGTGATTAAGAACGAGCTTAATTTGAATGATGATGAGTTGGAGGAGAGCCCTTTGGATGTGAGAGCTTGTGTTTCTATGGTTAGTGGTGTAAGTGAGCAACTAATTCCTATTCCTTCACCTTACACCTCATTTTCAAGAAAGCTTGATCTTGTTCCCTCCTATCCCATGTCATTACCTTCTTTTCTCAAATCCCCTTCTCTTGAAAAGCCTTTGGTACCCCAAATGCCTCATTTGATGACCTTTGAGGATAATGGTGGGATCTCCAACCAAAAATATTTTGTTGAGAAGAGTATGCCTTCTTCTTTTTCTTTTATTTCTCTTCCTTTTTCTTATATTCTTGTTTTTCCTTTCTTTCCTTCTTCTTCTTGGCATACCTCTTCTCAACACAATAGGTGTGCACTAATCTTGTTTCATGCCTTTATTTTGTCATGTGCATACTTACTATCCTATGAAATGTGTAGTAGTGCATTTGGCAAGCTCTTGCGTGCGTTGAACTATTATTTTCTAGAGCGGTCAAGCTTGGACCTTAAGCAAGTCTTTCTCGGGAAGTAACCCGTGTTTTATTTCTTTCATTTTCTTTTCTTTTTAGAATAGATTTTCTCTCATGGAAATGTTTGTGTGCCTTTTTCTAGGTACATGACTTGTATACTTTGGTGCTTCTACTTGGATCAAGATTCAAGGAAGTATGACTCCTATTTTTGCTAGCATATGAAAGGCAAATTTCAATTCTTGAGGAAATTAGAAAGGTTTAATTGAGTCATTTGCGGGTATTTACACCCATCTAATATCCAATAATATCCTTCCTTTCTCTTTCTCAAGTGGATGATGACTTGTTGGATATATGTTGGTTTATTAGATTGATCTCCTTATTCCCCCCCTCCATGGTTTCTATGATTTATGTTTGAGCATGTTGTCTCATTCAAGCTTGGGGGAGGGTATTCTATCATGTTTGGTGGAATGTTGATTCATATATGCCATGCACATTTGTATATGCATCTCCATGTTCTATATTTTGAAAAGCTACAAAAAGATTTTTGTTTCTATCAAGGCAAATTTGCAATGTGTTTTTGTTTTGTTCTTGCTTTAGACATAATAACATTTGGAATTGTATAATTGAATGCTTTTCTTCCTAAGTGGTAACGGTGTGCATGTTTTGAGAGTATGCTTGGTTGATTCTAGGATAAAGCATGCTAAGGTAGTTGGTTAGAGCAAGTGAGACCATGAAATCGGATTCTACTTGTTTGTGGCATGTTGGTAGTTGCTTCCTATAGTCGAATTGACACCAATAGTGAGTTTTTTCTACATCCATCTGAGGTTCATTATTTTTCAAGCCTTCAACATATATTTGCATGAGCGGCATGGATCCTTGACTATTGCGGACCTAATCTAGAATCTTGACTCATAATTCTCAAACTCAAGACTGAACCATTTAGGGAGGACAAAGGCATCTTTTCGGGGTGGTAATTTATCTTTTCTAGGATAGTTTTCTTATTTTTGGTTTTTGGGTTTACATTTGCCTACTTGCTAAACATTTGAGCCTTTTCCTTTCTTTTCAAGCCACATCTTTAGAACTTTGAGCCTTTTGTTTCTTTTTGTTCCATTTTTGGTTTTTGTGAAGCAAATGGTCATGTTTTTAGAGTTTGTGGTATATAAGGTTGAATATTGGTTCTATTTGTAAGCAAGCTTGTCTTTTGTATATATTGTGAATAATGGCAAATGAATGATGGAAAAAGTCGTCCAAAGTCAAAAGAGGCAAGGACATAATAAATGCAAAATTGAAAAAAGTCGTCCAAAGTTATAAGAGGCGAGGACATTTGCTTTGAATATATGAAAAAAGGTGAAAGTGAGAAAATTGAAAAATATTTTGATGTGATTCTTTTATCCTTTTCAAGCATTGAGGACAATGCTTCCTTTAAGCTTGGGGGAGAAGCGTTTACGCTTTTTGTATATATGCTTGTGGATATAGCTTTAAATAAGCTTCGTGGAACTTTTGAGATGCTCACTAAGGGAAGATATGAGACTAGTAGGGAGAACGCGGTAAGACCATTTGGGATGAAAGTGGATTGCGAAAACTAGTTCCTATGCTTAGCATATTTATGTTTCAATCAAACTGGGGAATCTTGGAACGTGCACTCCCTTACTTGTTTAGAAAGATTTGCATTCATTTGTGCTTGTACATTTGGAAAAGTCCTTTCATGAACATGTGCTTGCTTTTCTTTTCTTTTTATTTCCTTCTCATGCTTTGCCTTGTTTGTATTATTATGAGAGTTATAGGTTAATCTCTTAGGAAACCTTTACGAGAGCATCACTCATAATCTAGGGCAATCTAGGGGTTTAAATGGCTTGTCTTTAGTTGCTAGAATTGACCGTGATTCCTACGAAAGTGAGTTAGTGTATATTCCCATCCTCTCTTTTCTTCTTGTTTCTTTCTTTGCTTGAATAATTTCATTATTTTTCCCTTGGGTTGGATTTTGTTTTGCTCGAGGACGAGCAAAAGTTTAGCTTGGGGGAATTTGATGCATGCCATTTATGGCACTCTTAGGCTAGGTTTTCTTCATATTTTATGCTTGTTTGTAGTAGTTTATGTTGTGTTTTTAGGGAATAATGCTTGATTTGCGTGTTTGTGTTTTAGTTTAGAGAAATGCGTGTTTTTAATGGTTTTCTTATTATTTTATTCATTTCTCGGCTATTTCTCTCGCTTCTCTGTTACTTTGACTTGTTTTATAGGTGTGTCGAGCTTCCCGGGATTTAATCATCAAGGAGGAAGCTCAAGCACATTCAAGGAAGTCAACGGAGCCAAAGTCGGGGAGCCAAGCATGTAAGTTTAGCCAAACCAAGCAAGCTCCGCAAGCACGAGTTCCAAGGTGGCAATCCCGAGCATCAAGGCAGCAAGCCCGAGCTCTTAGCCACGCTGCCCAAGCTGCCACGCGCGCAGCACCCAAGCAGCCACGCTAGCAGCAGCTCAGCGGCGCACATAGTAGCGCAGCAGCACGGCCGCGGGCGCGAGGTGGCTGGCCGCGGGCGCGAGTTGCTGCAGCTCATTTCTGCCAGTTTTGGGCAGGAACTCATCGCGAGCTGGCCGCGGGCACCCCGCGGGCGCGGGCTTTGGCCGTGGGTGCGGCTTCCCTTGTGATCTGTTCTCCTCCGCGGGCGCAGCTTTCTAGGTTTTACTTGCGATTTCATTTATTTTCTCCTTTTTAATATATATTGTAAAGCTTTCTTTATTCTTCATACATGAAATGCTTTAGTTTTAGAATAATTTCTCTCTCCTCTAAGGATGATCAGGTTAGTTTAGGAGTCTCTCTCTAGATTAGGAGTAGTTTTAGAGAGAGAAAGTGAGGGATTTCAATGGTGATTGAGAGATTGAAGATACAAGGGTGACAATTGTGTTGAAGATCTTCTCTATTATCAATGAGCATTCTTAACTCTATCTCACCTTATTGCTTTGTTTAATTTCATGTTTGTTTGGTTTAATTTTGATGCTTGATTGTTGATTAGTGTAATTATTCTCCATATGTTGTTGATTCTTAATTCCTTTAGTTGATTGTTGATAGATGATGATATTTAAGTAGTTGTTTGGCTAGGAATTGGGTGAAACTTGTATGATTCATTAATTATGATTAATTTGGGAATTGTGTTGATTGATTGTTGAGATTAAAGTGATTAGTGAAGGTTTGCATGTGTGTAATTTGATTAGTCCTTGAGAATTATGCTAGATTGCATTGTAATTGCTAATGACACGAATAATTGATTTAGGAATTGCAATTATCGATTGGTTTTGATTGTGATTCTCTTAGTTTTTTTTATTCGTAGTGAACCCTAGCTTAACAATTAGGAGATAGATCTTTGATTCCAATTGATTGCTCTTATCATTAGTCTTCACAACCTTTAATTGGCATTATCTTCCCAAGTTGTTGCAATTGACATGATTACTTGTTGATCCCCGTTCCTAGCTTAGTATTTTATTTCCTCGGTTACTTGTTTTGTTAGTTGTTAGTATTCTCTCTTTATCTTTGGCTTCGACCTAGTTTAGGCACCCAAATCGAAAGCATTTGAACATTACCGTTCCTTGACTTGCCTCTATACTCGTATTTAGGTTTGTTAAGTGTTTATAAATTTAGTTTGACCGAGGGAAGATTAGATAACGACCTAGTTTTCCCCTTGTCAACTTTATATGTAGCATTATAGAGTCTATGCATGCTGATGATAGAGTTCAAATGAGATGACCATCGAGTGTCACCAGCACATTGTAGGTTGCCTAGCTGATTAAGTCCCCTTCCAGTTTCAAACTCATCATCATTTGCAATTTTGTTATTAATTTCAGCCCGTTAAGCAGCTTCCAACTCATCATGACATTTGGAAGATGCATCCACAAGATTAATAATGATAGCCAACTTGGTGTTGTTCAATGGGGATCACTTCTCTAGTTGCAGCAACCATGGCTAATTGAAGTCTATGAGCAAAACAATGAACATAGTATGCATAAGGTGAATCTTTTTTTATTTTTATTTTTTTTATGCAAAGCCGGGGGCAGAAATTAGATTAAAAGATCAATAAGAGTTATAAGATAGTTAGGGAGGCTTATCCTGCAAAATTACATCTCGAATAAATTCAGGTGGATCATACAAAATTACAAGAGTTACATCTTGATTCGGAGAAGTCCTATAATATTTAGCTAATAAGTTAGCTGCCCTGTTTGCATTCCTGCCTTCATAGTGAACTTTGACATGCTGCATATCCTCAAGCTGGACCCTACACCATTTCAGAATATTAGAGTTTATATCCTTTATAGTCGTTTCCTTTGAGATGAGATCAACAACTTGCTTCGAGTGTGAGTAAACACCCACTCTGTCCCAGCCCTTTTCTCTGATCAGCTCTAAGCCAGCTGCAATGGCAGCCAACTCCCTCAGACAAGCAGTTTTGACTCTACATTTCTGATAGAAACCCAATATCCAATTCCTTGCTGTAGGGAATAATTTCAAGCGTTAACCCCTAGATTGAACCCCACTTTGATCATACACTAAAGTACGGTGGCGTCCAAAAGGGAAGAAGATAGAGCAAAAGAGTCACTAACAAGTTTTAGGAACTTGTAAACCGTTCACAGGGTGAAGGTTACACCCCTTAATGATCCAAGAGATCGTCAACTCCATAAGGTCTAGAACCAAATAAGGGTTCGGGGATGAAGGTACAAATCCAACCTAAAAGAGATTGAACCTGCCATAATAATAGGCCTCTACTTTATTCTGATCGTATTCATGTGCGCTTTCTGACTAACATGCAATCAATAGGATTAACCTAAACCTGTTTATCTATGTTGGTTGAATATAATGCACAAATAAACTATTATTGGCGATCACTTGAAATCATAATCATATTAACCCTAACAAGGTTATTAATTATCTTATTAATCGTGATTACAAGTACCAATTCCCTTTAAGCATGCAATAAAAGGCGTGATCAAGCAATAAATAATAAATATATCAAGCAACATAATAATAATCAATAATCATGATAATAAATTATAATCATAAAATAATCATCATAATAACAATCATATTAACCATAATAATAATCATGTTAATCATAATAATAATAATAAATATAGCAATAATAAAATTATAATCATAATCAAAACAATTATAAAAATAATCATAAATCATGTTAAAGCATAATAAAAATAGCAAGATCCTAGGCATGATACTAACAAGATTAATAACAAACCCTAGCATTTCACTAAGCAATAAAAATAAAATCTTTAACCCTAACATGATACTAACAATCATAGATATTAGGAAGAAAATAGGAAGCATCGTAACAATCATATTTAATATTAAATTTACCCTAGACATGATACTAGGAATATCATAATAACAATATAAACATGATTTCTACATCATAACATCAATAAAAACCATTAAAGTACTTACTTTGATGCCTCGTACCTCTTTCACGTTTAGGGCGAAGGCAACTTCGAATATGGCTAATGCGGAATTTTGTATGTAAAAAGCAATTTAGAAAAGAGACAGAGAGATGAAGAGAATTAATTAGAAGAGAATGAGAATTGAAAACTGATTGTAGGTGAATGAAAACGGAGTTTTTACGTCGTTATTTATAGAGAAATCAGCCAAAAAGATAAATTTACAAAACAGAGTCCTGGCGCAACTGAAACAGAGCTGGCGCCAACCCTGGCTAACTGGCGCTAGGCGCCAACACTAGCGCCAAGCGGCAACACTAGCGCCAAGCGCCAATGGATGGCGCCAGGCGCCAGGCCTAGCTCCAGGCGCCAAACCTGTTTTTGACGCGTTTTTGAAAATCAAATAAGTTTTGCCGTACAGGAGGATAAAATCGTATATTTTCCTCAAAAATGCTCTTTGATCTTAATGAAAACTCTGAAAAGTCAACAAAAGTCAATTTATCAATGCTAATTGAATTAGGAATGAAAAGAACCTTCTAAAAGAATCTAGAAGACTAAAACCATTCCTAATTGCATTACGAATGATAAATCATATTAGGCCCTCCCCTAGATTATTGGGCCGCATATAAGGCTCAAACCGAGCCTAGTTTAGTAAATTGGCCATAACTTCCTCAACATTCATCAAAATTGGGCTTATAATATATCGTTGGAAAGCTCTTGTCAATCCCCATCCAACTACACTACTATTGGACCCATATCATGGACCAACCTAACAGGATTAACTATTTTCTTAAAATAAGTTTTCAAAAACAGAGAGAAGAGAAAAGAAAATTAAAACTATCCGCAACACTAAACTTTCCACACTTTCGCTTCATTCGATTATGATTCGACGTGAAAGGTACTCATCACTGGGTTTGGTTTTGGGGAGACACAAATGGGTGTCTACAGAAGCCCCCACTTTGACTGAGTTTGGAGAAACGCAAGTTTCGAAAACAAAAGTCAAAGTATCGATAGGGATGGAGAATGATTCAGAACGTTCTGCGATCCTAAACCACTCTTGTAGCGCCAATACCTGCAAACAAGCGTTAGTTAAACAGATAAAAGAATTAAGAAACAGGTATCTTGCACCGTCGAGCACACGTCTCTAAAAGTAACCGATTGTTTTGATGACCTCCTGCAAGCTAGAGAATGCCACCCCATTTGAAAACCGTTACGCCTGTAACTGCTTCCAATTTGGAAGATTGCTTCGCCTGAAACGATCCTCCTCCGCTTTGATAGTATTCCACGTCCAAGGGAATACAATCGAAGATTATTTCTCTAAAAACAATCCTCATCCGCATTGATAATATTTCGCGTCCAAGGGAATACTATCGAAGACAACTTCGCCTGAAATTACCTTCAGTTGTTTGTGACAACTCTCCGCAAGCTAGGGAATGCCGTCGAAGATATCCTCGCTTGAAGCCATCCTCATTTGATGCGATAATTTTCCAAAGGAAATTACCGAAGATCCCCGCTTGTCGATCTTTAAAGCTCGCCTGAAATTTGCTCCTGCTATGCCTGTACGTCTGCGCTTTTGTTGCTTTGAACCTGTACGTCGGTGCCTTTTGCTGATAAACCACTATGTTGGTGCCTTTTGCGAATGAAGCAGTATGTCGGTGCCTTTTGTTAATGAGCCAATGCTTATGCGCTTTAAGCTAAGTGAGACGATCTTTCATCAGGTCGATCACTTTATGCAATCAAGCCGATTACTAAAAATCATGTCAAATTGCTTAGAGGGGCTAACTGGCGTACCAAGGAACCTATAATATGTTGCAACAAAGTAGAACAGCCTCACCGAGTGGCTGAGTGTCCTGGTGCTGCGAAGTTGTTTGAGCATGTCAGAGGGAACTAGTCCCCCTTGGTGATCTTGCACAATCCGTGGTTGATGCTGTGTAGAGGAGCTACTGCCGTTGTTAGCTCCAGTTCTTGTACCGGCTGAGAATGTAGTGGTACGCCTTTTCGGCTCTTATCTTTAAGTAGCCCCCAAGTAATCCTTCACAGACTTGGTTTTGCTTTATTAGGATGATGCTGCTGAGTTCGTGCATACGGGTCGATTGAGGAGATGACTCCTCCAGTCGTGCTTTGTAAAGTGGTCGATTCCTTGCCATCAGACTTGAGTAAGCTTATTTATTTGCAAATTTTGTCCACATATATTATGCATGTTTACTGACTTATTTCTTTGTCAGCTCTTGCGTGAGGTGGTTTGTACCTGTGCTTTTTATTATTTGTTTGACTTTGTATGAAGTTTGCCTTTTAGTTAAACTCATTTTTAGACATATTTTGTATATATATACTTTATTATGAGTTTATCATGTTTGCTATTATTATTTTGTGCATGTAAGTGTGTGCAAGAAAAGTGTGACAAACAATTTTGCGCAAAAATTCCGTCATTTTTATTATTGATGGAGGGTATCCGACTCTCTCCCCCAAAAGAAAAAATGAAAAGAGGAAAAAAGTAAAATGTTGGGTTTAAAAAAAACCTTGGAAATTAAGCTAAAAATCCAAAAAAAGAATAATATAACTAATATAATAGTTATATTAATTAAAAGAATAAAAAGATGTTTTAGAAAAAAGATAAAAAGAAGCCGTAAAGTCATTAGCAGACTCGGATTAAGGTAAAAATGCGATTTAAGAAAGCGCGTCTGACACGGCAAATTGGCGCCAGCTGGCGCCACGCAATTGGGTGTAGCGCCAGGCACTACACTTGGCGTGTGGCGCCAATTGCGGATTTTGGCGCCAATTAGCGCTGTTTTCGTATTTCAACCTGATTAAAACTGCTCGTAAATCGTGCGTAAATAGCCCCCTGCCTCAGTCGAATCTTTCATAATTCCAGCGAATAAAATAATTCTTGGCCTTAGAAAAATAATATCATGTCTCTAGTCACCAAAACCTTCACTCAATACACCCATGAATGGTGTCGATCTCTTAATGCTAGAGACATAAAAGAATTAGATTTGTTTCACTTGGGGGGAATTTATGGCATAAAAGGGGTAGATCTTGAGTTAGATTTCATTCATACCGCTCTAGAATATTGGAATGTTGATACTCATTGCTTTAGAATAGGGTATGATGAGATTAGCCCTTTTCCAGAAGAATTTGGTGCTATTTTAGGCTTTCCTACAATAGACCTCATAGTAATCCATAGAGTTGATGCATATTATTACAAGGATTTTGAGCGCTTCTTTAATTTTAAAGAAAGGGATTTATCAAAAATAGTAGATGGCAACATAGTTAATTTGAAAGAATTTGCACGCCATTATTTTGATAAACCTCTTTCTGAATCGTTTCATATATACAGAAGAAGGGCTTTCTTATTTTGCATGCTTAATCAATTTTTCCTTAGTAGTGGTTAAAATAATGAAGGCCAATCAATTATAACCACCGTACTAGAACAAATTGAATCAGGGAGAAATCCAATGCCATGATAGTTGGAGAGACTATGATTAGTCTTGATGAATTGAAAAGAAACCCAAAAGCACATTTTCGCGGCTCTCCAATTTTATTACAGGTAGAAAAATAAAATTTTTAATTACAGAAATCAAAAATATATTTTTGTACTGTAATAATAATTTATTTGCATTGCAATTTTTACATATATGACTAATGTAAAGGCTAGAATTAATTAGCCCTCCGGACAATATTGAGAAGTACACTCCCAATTGCTTCGTGAGGAGGAAGAAACGCTTCCCTAAAATTGGGCGCCATGGGTGGAGAAAGGTCTTCGAATCTCACAATTTTGCTATCAAGTGGGTCGTCCCATGGTGGAAAATAGAAAGGATGGTTGATGTCAACAAGCAACCTTTCTTTCGTCTTCCAAGTTTGTCTCGTATGACTTATTATTATCCCTACAGGGTAAAAAGACAATACGACTTGCTTTAGAATATTCCTTCCAGGGATCTTCGTCCTCCCTATGAGTACCCTGTCTCTTAGGAAGTAGACAGATTTGATTCTTATTGGAGTGCTAGACCTTTATGGGAAGTGATTACCCAAAAGGTTCCTCCTTCTTTGCC